ATGTTATCTTAAAAAAAAATGTCAACTAAGTTAAGGGACCTTAAATAGGTTTTTTGTTATTGTTTTGCAATAGGGTTTTGCTCTATTGCCCAGGCTGGAATACAGTGGCATGATCACAGCTCACTGAAGCCTCAAATTCCTGGGGCTCAAGTGATCCTCCTGCCTCAGCCTCCAGAGTATGAGACTACAGGCATGCGCCAACACACCTGGCTAATTTTTTATATAGATGAGGTCTTGCCATGTTGCCCAGATTGGTCTCAAAACTCCTAACCTCAAGTGATCCCCCTGTCTCCACCTCCCAAAGTGCTGGGATTACAGGCATGAGCTACCACTACTGGCCTTAATTAGGCTTTTAAAAACTTAAAAAGAGCTATATTAAAAATAAAAGAGATCACAGGTTTTATTTTTCCAATCAGTATGTCTCAATAACGGGGGTATATTTTATAGTAAATAAAGGTAGAAAAGCATAAAAACTGAGCACAAACAATGTAAGTAGCAGCAGTATGAACTGGATTTATCAATATTCTCGGGCCACAAATTACAAACTAATGCAAAATAAACTGTTAGGTGTTTTCCCTTGTTAGTCCCCTGAGACATTCTGTGGAGAGAGTCAAATATGCTCACAGAAGTTGAAGGAATAGGAATTAAGTGGGAATTAGCTGCCTCAGATTCTAGATTCAGCTCTGCCTCTGCATAATTTCATAATTTGGAAAGTATATTTAAGCAAATCTATATGTATGTGAACTTAATTTATAAAACCCTGAGAGTCTCTCTTCTCCTGTCTCCCAGTCTTAAAAAAGTCTAAAACATTCCATACTGGTAGTATAGTCTTAAACAATATGAACCATGACTTTTTGAGAAATAGTGTGAAATACAGAGACATGAAAGAACATTTACAAATATAGACTGTAAGATCTTTGCTTTACTTATCTTCCCTTTAAGAGCCTTACAATAAATCATCACATCTCTGTCAGAAATTTCTCATTTTAAAAAAGGAAACTTCAGTAACTAAAAAGAAAATCAATATGCTCAACGTTCTCATAAAATTCCAAATAACAATTGCTTTTATTGACTGAAAATTAAGTCTCCATTTTTATTTTATTTTATTTTTTATCATATTAAAGGTCTCCATTTTTAAAAGTCTAAACATTTTAATATCACTCCCACCTAGTTTTTTTTATTATAAACAGCTCCACATGAAATAGAAATAGAAATGGTTGTGAAGTATCCCAAGAATGGAAAAACAAGTACCACATACACTCACCAGCAAACTGGTATTAACTGAGCAGCAACTAAGTGGACACATAGGTACTACAGTAATAGGGTATTGGGCAGGGGGAGGGGGGAGGGTGTATATATATATACATAATGAGTGAGATGTGCACCATCTGGGGGATGCTCATGCTGGAAACTCAGACTTGTGGGGGAGGGGAGGAAAGGGCATTTATTGAAACCTTAAAATCTGTACCCCCATAATATGCCGAAATAAAATAAATAAATAAAAGTTAAATATAAAAAAAATGAAATAGAAATGGTTAAAATTGACTTGTTTTTAAAGTAGTATCACCTGTGTTGCCACAAAATAATGATGAGGATTGCCTTCTTCAACCATGGAAAGCAGACATTCTGATCCATTCACTGGATTCTTGAAATGGGGACAATTTCGAACCTGGCATTTTTGTGCAATCAGTTTTGCCCCATATAAGTCTTTCCCCAATGTTTCTAACTCTTTTAACACACATCTGGAAAAAAAAATGTTATTAGTGGCCCACAATTATAACAGACACATTTCAGTTGTTTACATGAAGTATAAAAAAACAATACTTTTTTAAAAAGTAAAACTACACCATTACAATGTGAATTGTCATATGGTAGCCATTTCACTTTAAAAGAACAATTAGGAAATGCAAACACCAAGTAGAGAGAATAAGAATTAAAATTTAATCAGTACTTACTATGTTCCAGGAAGCATGCAAATTGCTCTTTACATTAATTCTTGCTTAATCTCAAAATAACCCCATGAAGTTAAGTAATTTACCTTAAAATTATCCTTATTTTAGAACACCCCATTCTGAGAGATTCTAAGTAACATTCCAAAGCTCAAACTAATAGGTGGTAGAGCTGAGACATGAATCCAGGCAGCTGGACAACTGATCCCTTGCCCCAACCACAGCGTAATAAGGATCTACGTCAAGTACAAATTGGTACACTTTAAAATATTTTCAATTCAGAAAGGTAAAAATTCTCACATCTGGTGCTTTAAAAACAATCACAACTTCTTTTCACTCTGCATTTTCACATTAATATAAGCCCATGTTTCTCAAAGTCTCATGTATAAACTACCCATATCAGAATGACATATGACATTAAATTGTATTAATTTCTAACTCTACTCTCATCCAAAAATCTGCACCTCTTGCAGAGGAGCCAAATATTAGTATTTTAATAAGCTCCTCAGGCACTTCTTCCCTCCTACTAAAAAAAAAAAACAAAAAAAACTATGAGAACCAATGAGTCAAAGATTTCTTCAATCCTAGTCAGCCTTTGCCAGATTCTTCCTTGCCTCATCTCCTCTATCACCTCTTTAGTTTTGTGTTTTTGTTTTTTTAAGAAAAGAGATTTTGCATTTTTAGCAAAATCTTTAGTTTTGACCTCCATTTTGAGTACTGCTACTTATTGAATATTTCCTATGCATGTCTTGCCATTAGCTTGTCAAATTCACCATGCCTAAAATCAAACTACTTTCCTTCCTCCAAATTTTTCCTTAAAGACTTGCTAACTCTTTAATATTATTATTTTTCCAAACATCCTAGATAGAAATCAGAAATCATATTTGACCTTTTCTTCCTTACCCCTACCCCATAAGCTGTTAGTCCTATCTATCTCACTAATGTCTCCTTGTAGAACCCTTGGGTTCCTGCTTTCCTCTCCTAGGTTTAGGCTCCCATTATTTCCTGACTAGACAAACACAGAACAGGTTTGTCTGTCTTTGCTTTACTGCTTCTTCAATTTACCCCTAACATTGCTGCAGTTTTCTTTTCTAAAACAAAACCCAGGCCAGATAACATTGCACTAATTTACTCCCTCAATTAACTCCAAATTTCTTCAAACCTGAATATGAGTAAACCCTCTAGATCTATTAGTGGTCAAGAAATACATTCTACTGAAAAACAAATGACCCAATCTCTTAAAAACATAAAAAGCAAATCATAAAAGGGGGGTACTGTTATAATTTTTTAAAAACTTAACAAACATAGAAATCAAATACAATGTATGTATCTTGTTCACAGACTTAAAAAAAGGGTTCTTTATCTCTTCAGGATACAGAATAAAATGCTCTAAAATAACATCAGTAAGGAGGTGGGAAGTTCAACAAGATTGGCCATGTTGATGATTGCAAAGGCTGGTGATAGATGTTTCATTATATTACACTACTTTTGTGTTGTCTGAAAAATTCCAGAAGTTAAAATAAATTTTTTAGAAAAAAATGCTGTAAAATATAATTTCATGCAGTATTTCTCAACCTTTTTTATATCACACCACTGTATTAAAAATGTTAATATTTCTACTACTTGCAGCCAGAAGCAACCAATTCAGAGGCACAAGCTATCAAAGGACTTGTTTGACATCCCTTAATGGCTAAGTGGATCAAAAATTTAGGGGTATCTGTAACCTAGTTGAGACACTGCTTGAGAAACAAATATGGAAAGCTGTTCATGGACTAGTGTTATGTCAGAAAAGTTGACCATCAACATATAATATACAGTAAAATCCCATTGTGACTGTGTGTGCTTGTGTATAAAGAATTGGATGGATGATACAGCACATGGTAACAGTGGTTACTCACGAGTACTAGTATTATGAGTCATTTTATTTTATTGCTTTTTTAAAGTAAATATTCTACAATGAAAAAAATCTACTAAATTTCTTAATAGTTCTTCGTGATCTAACCTCAATTTATCTTCTTTCTAGCTTCATTTCCAAATATATTCTGCGCTACAGCCTCTTCCCCAGGCATTTCATAACTCCGTTCCGTTTTTCAAGAGGTCTCCACAACAGGGAATGTCATTCTTTTCTGTCATTCAAAACAGTTCTCCCCCTCAGGATGTCTGAGCATGTTAAACGTTATCTCCTCTATGAAACCTTCCACAATTCTCTCCTCCCACCCTCCTATCCCCACAAGGTTCCATCCCACACTTTGATGAAGTGGGGAAACATTAAATCTTAAGTGAAAACACATCGATTGCAGATTATCTTACGCAGTTTTACCGGCTATGAGGGCTGGGAGTTTGTCCTGTTCATTCAGCAAAGCATCCTCAGTGGCTGTAGCAATGCTTGGTAGCTGAATAAATAAACGACCTACGGCAAATTGCTTAATCTTGAGTACTGATTCTTATTCTGGGAATCAAGGAAGCTAACTCACAGGGCAGTTGTGAAGCTTGAAAATTTTTGGTTTAACTAGGAAAAGCTATTCAAACAACAGCAACCATTGAAAGAGGGGTAGGTTTTAGATATCGAAAAATGCCCTAGTACACTAGACCCATTTGACCTTACATGAACCTTATTAAGTAGTTATGATCTCTAGCTCTAGTACACTATACTCATTTGACCTTACAGGAACCTTGTAAGTAGTTATGATTTCTACTTTACAAATGAGGAATCCGAGGAGGTTAAATAACTTGATCGAAATCATAAAGCTGGTAGGCCTGGGAACAAGATTTGAAGCCAGGTCTACATGACTACGACACATATTCTTATTCGCCTGGCTAACGACAAGTGATATTTGCAGGGCACAGTACATTCAGCCTACATCGCAGGTATTCAACTGACCACCTTAGCACCTCCAATTAACTGTCAACTTCTCCTGGGCGGGGCGTTTTGCACCGCGTGGGCTCGCAACGGAGGCCTTTCAGCAAAAGCCACGCGGCTACCACACCCGCCAGACCCCCTGCGCCTCCTCCCTGCCCGCCGGGCCCACCTGGTGGTGCACAGCTGCGTCTCCCCCATAAGGTAGCGGGGCAACTGCTCCCGCAGCTGGATGCGGCCTCGCAGCGCTGCCTGGCAGAAGGTGCCGTCCAGCAGGATCTGGTACGGCTCGCGAACTCCGAAATTGTTGCGGAAAAAGCCAAGATGTTTCTTGGCGTGTTTCTGCCTCGTGATCTTCATACTTGGTTTACTGGGACCGAGGCCACCGGGTTACGAAGTGACAGCAAACGCCTCACGCAAGCCCGGATACCCGCATTGCCGGCTTCTCCAGGAAATCATATACCCTTGCCCCGGAAGCAAACGCCCCATCTCACCAGGCCTGCCCTGGCTTACGTCATGCGCAAACGAGCGCGCTCTTGGGCCGCAGTGCGCAGTGCTCGCGCTTAAAGGGGTGGGCCCTCGGGCCGGAGCTTGTGCCTACGTGGGAAAACCGCTAGGGTGTGCGATTACGCGCGGGGCGCACATGCGCAGTCTTGGGCCAGAGTAAAAAAACAAAAACAAAAACAAAAAAAACTTCAAGAGATGTTTAGCACCTTACCTGTCACGTACAAACTTCTGAAAGCCTGGCAGTGTAATAATAATCCGTTACAATATTGAGCCTTAATATGTTCCAGGCACTGTCTTGAATGATTTACTCTATGTCATTCCCTTTAATGTTTATAATTCCCCAGTGAGGGAAGGAAAGGGGCCAACATATATTGGACAACTAGACTGGGAGGTTTGTACTGGCTGCTTTCCCACAAAGAAGTTAAGCACTTTCACTAAGGGCACGTGGATCATTAGTGCCTGGAATCCAGTGCACCTGCCTGAAGTTCATGTGTTCTTGCTACACGCCGCCCATGGGAACTAACTCCAGTAGGGAGCTATGTCAGGGCAAAGGGTCCCACGATTTTGCAGCTTCTCCTCTCCTAAAACTATCCTAAATCACTCACATGGTATGTGTTGAAAGACCTCTCAAGAGCTTCATTTTCCCAGAGTCAGAGTCCCTGAACTTGAGTTCAGGTTCTGCCACTAACCCAAGCCATATGACCTTGGGTAACTTCTCACGAGTGATGGGTTCATTTCCTTCACTGTCAAATTGTAACCAGGTCCATGAACCCCTATATGTTTTTAATAATCCCTTAACTACTTGACCCTTTGAGTTGTTTCCCAGAAATGATTGACTCAAATGGTCTTTCTGCTTTGTCCTCACAAAGTGCTGGGATTATTGGCATGAGCCTTCACATCCAGCCTGAAATAATGGATTTCCTACAAGACAAAGGAGTGGAAATTCTGAAGGACCCAGGGTGGACTTCCTAATGCCAAGATCCACCATCCCCCACAACCTGCACCCAATGCATGTAGCCCTTTGTGAGATACACCAAGACCTGTCCCAAGGCACATGACCCCTCCTTTAAAAGCCTATGATATCCCTTAGTGGGAGAGATGGATTTGGATTTGAGGCAGCTTTTCCTGTTCTCCCTGAAAGACGTCTGTCAGATTAAAAACTTCTTTCTTCCAGGTCCAAGTGGAAAATGGCGCCTGGGCCGTGTCCACACTTTATGGGGTGCTGGCTGAGTCCCGCCCACAGCTGGAGCGGCCTCTATCCAATGGCACCCACACCGGGAGGACTCAGCTCACATTTGTAAGGCCATCACCTACTTTGTGGAGCTCCCAGGGGTGGGAGTGAGCATGCTGAATGTCTTCTTGAAGTCACACCATCGAGAGCACAAGAGACCTGAGTTCCTCACCTACCCCCATCTCCACATCACATCCAAGCCCTCTCCTTAGGGAGATGGTAACCATACTGTTTCACAGCCTTCATGTAAATCTGCTTCCAACTGACTATTAATTTGAATAAAGAGATCCTGGACCTCTACCCAGTCTCTGGGGACCACAGCATCGGTTTAGACCATTACTCTGCACATGGACCAGAAAAGGTGTACAGGGTCCTTAAGAACACCTTCATGTATCAAATGATTATTAGTATACTGATCTTCCATCCCTTTGCTTATGGCAGGAAATAGCTTAAATAAATAACTGTAAAAAATTCTCTTCTTCCTTGGCAACTCTCATTGTCTCAATAATTGAATTTTTGTGCAACATGTAACTGGACCTAGACCAAAGCCCCTTGTGGTTTTGATAACAAAACTGATTGCCAGTCTAGATTAGTTTTAAGGACTCTACTGTTCATAGTTTTTGACATAGGAAGACTACACTACTAGACCAGTAACAGAAAGGTACAAAGCTGACTGAAGATTTAGAAATTACTTGGTCAACTTGATTAATGAAGAGACTGGAGCAGAAAATTTTGAGCACCCTAGCAGCTAACTGCCAAGTATCCATTTCAATTCAAGGCAAAATAATCAAAGGAATGGGGAGTATGGAATTTTGCATTTTTGTTCTAGCCTGGAATCTGTCCCAGATCTAGTTTTGGCTAAAGATTGAAAGAATCAAGGCAGAAAAATGATTTACAACGTGACTGAAATGTTTTGTTTGCATTTGGGGTTTTATTTCAATATATAGGCTTATGAAATTGGAACTAAAATCTTCTATAATGTTAACCCTGACCTTAGTCTCTGCACATCACTTAGATGGCTGCTTTCATTTAGCTGAAAATAAATTTAAGACTTGGAAGCCATGAGAAGTCATTGAAGGGTTGGATTCATAGTCCTTCATTATAATTGGTTACTACTTTTCAATTTGAATCCTCTCTTTATCCCTGTATGCCAGCTCTCCACCTGGACTATACTTGCACCACAGACAGAGAAATGACACCACTCTAGCCTTGCAAAACAGTTAAAATATTTTTAAAAATAGGCTCACAAATTCATCCACCAGATTCTCATGCTACTTTTCGACACTAAGAAAATTGTTGTGCAACACCAGGGATTTGAGTCATATTCTAGTTTTTTGTTGTTCCTTTATTATAAAAACATGAAGACAGCCTATAATGGTGGTTATTAAATTTAAAACACAGTTTTCTATCATTATAGTAGTGTTTCTCAAAACATGGGCCTGGTATTAATACATGTAGATAAAACTCTTAGTGTGCTTGTTTAAGATGCCTATTCCTGATTCAGAACAAATATTGAGGGAGAGGGGTACTATTCAGAGAGGAACTGACATTTATAACAATCTCCCCAGGTCCTTTTTATGCTTATTAGTATTCCTAAAGGACCTTTTGAGTAAAAACAGTAAACCACTGTTTATCCAGTATAATATTTTCATTAAGCAGTCCACTTAATACACTTTCGTCCAGATGCCAAATGATCTAGTCATAGAAAATCAATATTTGGCCACAACCAAGGTGGAAGCCAAATTTTGCCATTATTGGTTGAACTGTTAGATATAAGTTTAAATCTCAAATTTTATTTTGAAAATTATTATAATTTCATTATTAAGAACTTTAATAGGCATTTAAAGGGTTTCTGTCTTTTTTTTTTTTTACCTTATAGTAGAGGAGCAATAATATAATAGTTAATAATAACACCATTGCTAGCTGTTAGCTTATTTCTCAGGTCACTACACTGGACATTTTCCATGCTACATAGATATTCACATTCAGCTTTGGTAGGTAGCAAATTCATTTATTTTTCTTTATTTTTTTATACTCTTCATTTTATTATGCCTGGATCAAATATAATTTTATAATGTTATGTTGTTGTACATGATTTTGAAGTTTTTCCTCATGAAATTTTGATGAAGCCAAGTTGACATGAGAATGATTTATTCTTGAAAGGTGTGACTAATTCCAAATAGAACTTTTCTCATGAAAAATTCATGGCCTAAATGGAATTAAATAAACATTAAATATAATTCATAAAGGTTATTTTGTTTAATTTCATCAATGTTAGTATAATTTTGTCTAATTTCATCGATGTTAGACATTTCAGCATCTATTATAATATTATTCTGCCTTATATTCATATTAAAATATTTATAAACATTTATTAACATTCATTAGCTTAAAAAGAATACAATGTTCTTCCTAAATTACCTAGCTAACGTACTCTGTAAATAAATAATTTAGCTAACTAAATATTTTAAAGCAACTTAGGTAAACTGCTTTGTACTGATGTCCTAATAAGTTCTTCACTTAGATACCCTAGAAATGGATCCATCATGGACTGACTTATACTGCAAAATTTCATATATGTCAGTTGGTTAGGTCTGGGGACTGTTACATTTTTAAAAATAATTTTTATCTTTTCAAAATTATAAAAACAAGACATGCTGCTAATAACAAATGGAACAATACATAGATATTCATTCCTTCTCCCTTTACCCATATAACACATTAACAATCTACTGTGTATGCCTCTTCAATGTTTCGACATTGACATACTTACATAACATACGCATACATATATACATTCGTATGTAGAGATACTGTTATGCAAAAATGGAATCATATTTCATCACTTCTATACATTTTGCTTTTCTCACCTAGAAATCCCCACTCACACCCACCCAACATCAATTGGCCAAGTTCTCGTTCTTTTTTTTTTTTTTTTTTTTGAGACAGAATCTTGCTCTGTTGCCCGGACTAGAGTGCCGTGGTATCAGTCTAACCTACAGCAACCTCAAACTCCTGGCCTCATGCAATCCTTCTGCCTCAGCCTCCTGAGTAGTTGGGACTACAGGCATGCCCTACCATGCCCGGCTATTTTTTTCTATTTTTGGTAGAGACAGAGTCTCGCTCTTGCTCAGGCTAGTCTCGAACTCCTGAACTCTAACCTCCCGCCTTGGCCTCCCAGAGTGCTAGGAATACGGGCATGAGCCACTGCACCTGGCCTTTCATTCATTATTTTTAATAGCTACATGACATTTCCACAAAATCACTAAATATAATAGATATGACACAGTATGAATTTCTACCCAATAGCTCCTCTCTTCTTTATAGTAGAAAATAAGTGAATCCATTCCCCAGCCTTGTGTGCAGATAGGTATAACTATGAGATTACATTCTAGCTAGAGATATGTAAGGGCAAGGTTTGCATGGACTTCTGGGAAGGCTGCTTGTAGGAAGTCAACTTAGTTTGGCAATGGGAACTTTTTTTTTCCATCTCTTTCCTTCCTCCTTCCCAGAATTTAGATGTGATGAATGGAACTCCAGTAGCTTACTTTAGACCACAAGGTAACTTTGAGGATGGAAGCTATGAGCTAATGTTGGCAAAGCAGATAAAAGAAGGAGCCAGAATCATTTGCAACCGTGAAATTGCTTTTCCAAACCTAAACTTCCTACCCCTGGACTTGTTTAACATGAGAAGAAAAATAAAATCTACCCTTGGTTTTTTTTTGTTTGTTTGTTTGTTTTTTGAGACAGAGTCTCACTTTTGTTGCCCTGGCTAGAGTGAGTGCCGTGGCGTCAGCCTAGCTCACAGCAATCTCAAATTGCAGCCAGGGCTTGGGGATCACAGCCATACAGTATGAACTTCTCTATCAGTTTCAGTTGTGATTTAATTAAATTTCTCCTTCCTTCCTTCCTTCCTTCCTTCCTTCCTTCCTTCCTTCCTTCCTTCCTTCCTTCCTTTCAGACAGAGTCTTGCTCTATAGCCTGGGCTAGAGTGCCATGGCGTCAGCTCATAGCAACCTTAAACTCCTGGGCTCAAGCAATCCTCCTGCCTCAGCCTCCCAAGTAGCTGGGACTACAGGCATGCGCCACCATGCCCGGCTAATTTTTTCTATATATTTTTAGTTGTCCAGCTAATTTCTATTTTTAATAGAGACAGGGGTCTCGCTCTTGCTCAGGCTGGTCTCAAACTCCTGACCTTGAGCGATCCACCCACCTCAGCCTCCTAGAGTGCTAGGATTACAGGCGAGAGCCACTGCACCTGCCTAATTTAATTAAATTTCAAATGGCAGTTTGTTTTGCATCATAGTAAAACATTTTTCCCCTTTTCTTTTCTTTTCTTTTCTTCTCTTTTCTTTTCTTTTCTTTTCCTTTCTTTCTCTTCCCTTCCCTTCCTCCTTCCTTCCCTTCCCTTCCCTTCCTTCCCTTCCTTTTCCCTTCTCCCTCCCTTCCCTTCCTTCCTTCCCTTCCCTTCCTTTCCTTCCTTTCCTTTCCTTTCTTTCCTTTCCTTTCTTCCTTTCTTTCCTTCCTTTCCTTTCCTTTCCTGAGACAGTCTCTCTCTTTGCCTAGGCTGGAGTGCTGTGGTGTAGGCCTAGCTCACAGCAACCTCAAACTCCTGGGCTCCAGTGATCCTCCTGCCTCAGCTCCCCAAGTAGCTGGGACTACAGGTGTGTACCACCATGCCCAGATAATTTTTTCTATTTGTAGTTGCCTGGCTAATTTCTTTCTATTCTTAGTAGAGACAGGGTCTCGCTCTTGCTAGGACTGGTCTCGAACTGCTGACTTCAAGTGATCCTCCTGCTTTGGCAACCCAGAGTGCTAGGATTACAGGTGTGAGCCACTGCACTTGGCCTATTTTTCCACTTTCTGCTACTTAACTTTTTGCCTTTTCTACAAGTTTTTGTTGTCACCATTTAATTAATACCAATTAAACATTTTACAGCAAAATGCCAATGGAGAGCACTATTCAAATCTGTTATAGTAAAATACTCATTCCTTTCAATTTGCTTAACATGGCAGTATTTGTTCTCTGTAAATATGATTTTATCCAAATGAACTATTACACAAGCAAACTTGCTAGTCTAATTTTATAGTCAATTGAAAACAGTGATCTGATAACTAATGATGGTACTTCCTGGATTGTCTGGTTTAGAAATAACCTTGACAAACAGGAATCACTCGAAAAATTTTTCTAAGACATAGTCTCTCCTTTGATATTTGACCTGAGGAAGAGCTCACTGGTACTAGCAGGCCAAGAAACAGAAACCTATTTCTTTTCTTTGACAACTAGGATGACACTAACTTTTCCTTGATGTCCTTACCCAAGAAGCTGGGGTTCTTCATATTTAACAGGAGCTATATCCTGTTATCCATTTTTCAACAGGAGATATATCCCACTGACAAACCAAATTCAAATCAAGTTGTTTATATTTTCAAAGTAAACAAATGTCAAGATATGCTTGTCCCGTATGTAA